TCCACATAAAAAAAATTCTGCAGTGAGAACAGCACTTCTTCTAATGCTGTACCTGTTACAAGAACACACAACATATCTTGGGAGGAATCTGCCCATAAGCAATATGTACACTCTTAGAAAAAAGGGTTTCAAAAGGGTTCTTTGGCTGTCCCCATAGGATAACTATTTTGGGTTCCATGTAGAACACTCATCCTCTCTTCCTGGTTAGATAGAGGTGGTGGCTTGAAAGTGGTTGCTGATGCGTGAAAATATGTAGAGGCTATTTCTGCTTTGAGAGAATATATACGGAAAGCATAACTGAGATGCAGAAGAAACCTCTCTGAGATGTAAATGCCTCCAAAGCCATTGTGAGGGTGAAATACTCTGAATAAACTGTTTTGGAGTCAGCCTTTGCAGAGGGGGATAGTGTGAACTAGCAGGAGACGGGCCCTTTAGTAAAAGAACACTGTCAGTGATTGACATGGCACACAATAGCCCCCATATGGGACATCAGTTTACATTCACATTCATGTTCTAGATATCAGTTTACATTCACATTCATGTTCTAGACATCAGTTTACATTCACATTCATGTTCTAGATATCAGTTTACATTCACATTCATGTTCTAGACATCAGTTTACATTCACATTTATGTTCTAGACATCAGTTTACATTCACATTCATGTTCTAGACATCAGTTTACATTCACATTCATGTTCTAGACATCAGTGATCAATGTTCCATTATGTGGCTAGGCACCCTACTGTAAAGAAAAGTGTTCTTGCTATAGATGCTACAAAACCACCATACCAGCATATACATATGCTATATAGACAAACGCTATAGATAAAAGAAAGAAAATAGAAAGAAAGTTGTTTAAACCCATTGCCAGTGGGTTAGGGTTTAAACCCATTGCCAGTGGGTTAGGGTTTAAACCCATTGCCAGTGGGTTAGGGTTTAAACCCATTGCCAGTGGGTTAGGGTTTAAACCCATTGCCAGTGGGTTAGGGTTTAAACCCATTGCCAGTGGGTTAGGGTTTAAACCCATTGCCGGTGGGTTAGGGTTTAAACCCATTGCCGGTGGGTTAGGGTTTAAACCCATTGCCAGTGGGTTAGGGTTTAAACCCATTGCTAGTGGGTTAGGGTTTAAACCCATGGCCAGTGGGTTAGGGTTTAAACCCATTGCCAGTGGGTTAGGGTTTAAACCCATTGCCGGTGGGTTAGGGTTTAAACCCATTGCCAGTGGGTTAGGGTTTAAACCCATTGCCGGTGGGTTAGGGTTTAAACCCATGGCCAGTGGGTTAGGGTTTAAACCCATTGCCGGTGGGTTAGGGTTTAAACCCATTGCCAGTGTAACTCAAATACATAAGATAAGGGGAAAGAAATCCTTAGCCCCATAGTGTCCACCGTAGGAGGGGTAAACCGACGCACATGAAAAAGATTTTGATCTATCGCTCCATCTATCTCAAAATACAGAGGGGGGAGAGAGAAATGAGTGGATTTAGGATGAAGAGCCTATCTGGAGGAATTCAGGCCTTGTTTGAGGATTATAACTTTTTCATTCATAGCCAAAAGCCAGAGAGAAGGGTGGTCTAATGCCTCAGGGGCCAGGGGGCAGGGCCTATAGCACAGCTAACCACAGCTAACCAGTCCCCTGTAGCTCAGTTGGTAGAGCATGGAGCTTGCAACGCCAGGGATGTGGGTTCGTTTCCCACGGGGGGCCAGTATGAAAATGTATGCACTCACTAACTGTAAGTCGCTCTGGATAAGAGCGTCTGCTAAATGACTAAAAATGTAAATGTAAAAAAATTAGAGATAAAACTGAGCTCAACTGCAACAAAGTTAAAGTGATGCAGTGGTCTAAGGCACTGCATCGCAGTGCTAGCTGTGCCACTAGAGATCCTGGTTCAGAGTCCAGGCTCTGTCGTAGCCGGCCAGCATGGATGTGGGTTCGTTTCCCACGGGGTGCCAGTATGAAAAAAACATGTATGCATTCACTAACTGTAACTCGCTCTGGATAAGAGCGTCTGCTAAATAATGTAAAATGTATTTCTTTCATTTATTAACCACAGAAACAGATGTTACTGGAATCACAACTGCCACATTGTTCATAAACAGAAAGACAGCTCCAAAAACTGTCCCTTAGACACAGAACTAGGATAATTTTACCCTCCTCAATTCCTAATGGAAAAATTAGGGAGGAAAATACAAACCTGACCACAGATCAGTGTCTGCCCAGGGACAACTTTGACCTATTTTGTTGCAGACAAAAGAGCGTCTTCGTCATGGCAAGAACCAGTAAGCAGAACACTAGACAAGTCTGACATCTAGTGGCGAACTAGGAGCAACAAAATCGACGTCAGTTCAGTGCGCAAAGACAGAGAGGAAGAGGTGAAGCGAGAGAATTTACTCTGCCCAAAATCTGTCCGCGTGAGATATGCCCTTTTTGTATGAGGGGTCTGTAAGAGAGTGTCGAATTACGTGAGGCTTATTTGGTCGAATAGAAGTTTCGTAATGTTTAGGCTGTTACAAATGTACTGATATAAGTGGATGCACGTGGCATTCCGGCAACGATTAGTTGTGCCTGTTGGCACACGCCCTCTCATTGGCTAGAATGGTCCCACCTGATCTCGCTTGCGTCATTGAGGAAATGTATATACATTGTTAAAGAGGTCACTCGGCTGTCTTGTCAATATAATATATCATCTTTGGTCCAGCTAACCTTTTCAGGCCTGTACTTTCCTTCCTAGCCTGAGGTCTAATCTGCGTATGGTGGAGTTCGTTTTACATGGCCCGGTGCCTCTGTTAGTGAGGATTTCAGTTAAGGGCCAATGGAATGGTCAAAAAAAAAAAACTCCGCCTACCCGGGCAATGTAAAACGAACTCGATCTATGAGAGAAGAGGGAGTGTCCAAAACTCCACCCCCTGCCCTTCGCAGTTTATAAAAACAGATCGCAGCAACACACGCAGTTAAAACATACTCACGGAGACCCCATTATAGGTGCACTGTGAGAGGTTATACTACGAAATAATACTTTTATTTTTCTACGGAAACGAAGACAAACAAAATCAAAATGGTAAGACCTTTCTTTTTCCAACATTGCCTTTGACGCATCGGTTGTAATAATTTAAAGGTTTAGAGTTATATGAAATAGGCTACATTTCTAATGTTTCTATAGTCAATATTGTATAGTATAAACATTACTGTCTATAATACTCCAAGGTACAGCCTCCACTACGGCTCATCTGTTTTTATAGAATATTATTTCGCTCTGATAACATGGTGCGTCATGATAGGAGTATCCATTTTGCTGCGCGTTCAACTTAGCGCGCCGTTTTGCTTTTCAATTCGAACACGACTGGCGCAGTATACGAAACTATTACTAGAATGTATTTAATTGTTACATTTAGTCACCTGAGCCTTAATTGGCCTCACGTTTCCTATCAATAAATATGCTCACATGTATCTGCATTTATTATCAAAATGTTGTCATTTGGCGCTTGAAGCAGCTTCCTGCCATTTTGAACGGTTAAAAAGGAGTTAACCGTTTCCATATACAGTGGCCGTGGGGCCAGTGTGGTTATGGGTGTGTTTGTTTGTTCTGCTGGTTTTAAATGCTGATGTGGCTCCCACGGGTCCGTGTGTATTCTGATGGGTGACTGTAGGCCTAGTCAGCTACTATTCCTGTTGCTCTAGTCTACTGCGCAATACTTGGAACATTCTGCCAATGTGGTATTATTCAGTAGTCAGAGCAAAAACCAACGAATACTAATGAACCACAAATATACCATCTACTGGAGTATTGCAGATTACATCTACAATGATTTTTAAAAAATTGTTTAAACATAATAGATTAATTGTATCAGTTGTGTCCCAATGTAACATTTCCCCATCACATGTTGCCACATGGATGTTTTTAGGACATGGCTCACATTTTATTACCTCACATCCTGCCCATATGACTTAATCAGAAAATATGTCAAGAAATTAGACAAAGACCTCTCAGAAATATTTTGACTATGCATACATGCTTAGTCTTGATAGGGGCAACCTTCAGTAATCTGAAAGTGAAATCCGAGGTTAGGAGTGGTGCAGAGCACAAAGGATAATCATTTCTGAGTAGCACATGGCTGAGACTGTCTGATCATGAGGTTAAAGTCTATACTACTAAATGAGGGTAAAAGAGCCTTAATTTATAATCCATTCCAGTTCATGTACTAGCACGTTACTCAGATCATAATGCAGTGTCTTCAAAAAAACAGTACACTCACCTTTGTTCCTAGCTTTGCCCATGACTAAAGAAGATTACCATGGCATGGGGGAGAGTTTATTTTGTCGCATGCCATCTAATTTCAATGTTATGAAAGGAGTGACTATTTGTTTAGGTGTGAAGTCCAAGCCATATGTTCCCTGCATAACACAAGGCCCTCTTTGCACTTTTTTTTTTTTATAACCCCCTTAGGGGACAGAACAGGAAACTGGAGGGGGCGGGGGTTGCTTACTAGCTACTGAACAAGTGATTAGTCCACCAGCCATTTTGGTGCCAAGCGTCTCGGCGGACTTGCAGTAGCACAAGCAATATGTTAGACTGTAGAGTACAGTTTAGATTATCGCCATTACCATGAGCTCAAAATACAGGAAATGGATACCATATAACCTAGCACTGTACATGTCACTGGGCCTGTATCTGGTAACCATTTGGTAACATAAATGGCCTGTTACGCCATGCGCAAACAGTTACCGAATCAACTAGCTATCACAATTACACATAGGCCTACACTAGGCTTACCTACAGGGTTTCAATTAGGGGGGGCTTTGCCGTAGAAAATCAGGGCAACCCCTGACAAATGCAACATGGTGGATGTTATTTTCTTAAATCTGGTATGAACTAGGGCCTGCCTAAACATCAACTCTAACTGACCAAGCTAATGGTTCAGGACACCAAGTGGTTGTTCCCACAGAGAAAGGGGTCAGTGGAGTAGAATGGGGTCTGGAGGGGCGACCCACACAGAGGGGGGATGGTGAGTAATGATCGACACCTCCCTTTAAATAGCTGGCTGCAGTGCTGACCTAGCTGCCATACCCAAACTAGGCACACCCTCTCACATCCCTGAGCAATGTCACTGCTCCTCCCCCACCCATACCCAGCTTGTTCTGTCAAACTACAGGGCTGGAGAAATGGCTGTGTGAAAGTAGTTGCCCCAGTCTCTACATGAGCTGAGTCATAACAGTAGTAAATTAAGTGTGGAGGGTTGTAGAAACAAATGCAGGGAAAAATACCTTAAAATCACAAGGACCTCACTGTAGACATTTGGGTCACTTTTGTAGATTCAGTTCTAGATTTGAGGTGTTTCTTTCTGTAACGGTTCCTTAACTTCCCCTGACTATGGCAAAAAAAGAAACGCAACATGCAACAATTTCAGATATTTTACTGAGTTACCGTTCAGATAATACATTAATTAGGCCCTAATCTATGGATTTCACATAACTGTGAATACAAATATGCATCTGTTAATCATAGATACCTTTTTTTTAAAGTAGGGGCGGCGGATGAATGGCACGACAATGGGCCGCAGGATCTCGTCACGGTATCATTCAAATTGCCCTTGATAAAAATGCAATTGTGTTCATTGTCCGTAACTTATGCCTGCACATACGATAACCCCACACAATGCCATCTGCCCGGTAGAGTTAAAACCGGGAATCATCTGTGAAAAAAGTTGCATTAAATTTGAGAGAAGTAAGCTATTTGTGCATACTGAAAATGTCTGATACAATTGACCTTGCTGCTACTGAAAGTTCAACCTAGCTTAAGGGAGATATTATTCCATCCTTCTACCAGAGGACAAAGCCTAGTTGGATGGTGTGCCTGTTCTCCTGTTACTGTGGCAGGTGGTCCTGTTTTTATAGTTGGGCCTTCCCAAATCAACACAATTCATAAGGACTGGCAACACATACAACCGCACAACTTTACGAGGTGCGTCCTTCTCTTGGCGTGTCACACTCATAAACTTCTCTTCCTTGACTTTCTCGCTCCCTATCTCCCATCTCTGTATAATAAGCAATTTTGGCCAGACAGGTGTTGTGCGTACGTATCCAGCTCTGGTGCGCTGGTATTTAGAAATTATAAGCTTGTTATTATCAGCTTCGCTCATCCTTGGCGGCGCTTTCCCCTCATCCTGTTCGCTGCGAGCTGGAAATATTTCAGTAGGGTGTGGCGGGACTTTTGGCCTTGCCTCAGACTCGTCAGCTCCTGTTAACATTGTCGATAGCTCATTGACGCGCTGAGGGGGGTAGGGTTGCCTCTTGCCAATCCTCCCAGTTCGGCCTTTAGTCTAGTGAGGCCTAATCAGACTTTACCACCACTTTTCTTTTTTATCACATTTTTATTGTCTCTACTGACCTCGGTCCAAGTTAGCATTCCAATGAGGGTGAGATATCGAGGGGATGTATCTCAATCTAAAGTGGCTTCCTCTCATCAAGCCAGTGGAGCCTAAATGAAAGGAAGATGAGAGTAGGCCATAATAAACTATTGGGATGCACCTTTGGTGTAGTGTGATAACACATTCAGTTATTGTTTCTTTTGTTAATGCTGTACAGTGTCTTATCGACTGGGTGGCGTCACTGCAGTCTAGGCTCAACTATGCTGCCGTCTGCCAATACTGCATTGCAAAATTGGCTCATCTCTCGCACAGGCACATGACCTGCTGTTTGGTCCTTAGTGAATCTAGATCTCAAGCGCCGCCTTGTGTCCATAACATGTGTACACTACATGGCCAAAAGTATGTGGACACATGCTCGTCGAACATCTCATTCCAAAATCATGTTGGTCCCCCCTTTGCTGGTATAACCACCTCCACTCTTCTGGAAAGCCTTTCCCCTTGATGTTGGAACATTGCTGAGGGAACTTGCTTCCATTCAGCCACGAGCATTAGTGAGGTCGGGCACTGATGTTGGGCGATTAGGCATGGCTCGCAGTCGGCGTTCCAATTCATCCCAACTGTGTTTGATGGGGTTGAGGTCAGGGCTCTGTGGCAGGCCAGTCAAGGTCTTCCACACCGATCTCGACAAACCATTTCTGTATGGACCTCGTTTTGTGCACTGGGGCATTGTCGTGGTGAAACAGTAAAGGGACTTCCCTAAACTGTTGCCACAAAGTTGGAAGCACAGAATCGTCTAGAATATCATTGTATGCTGTATCGTTAAGGTGTCCCTTCACTGGAACTAAGGGGGCTAGCCCGAACCATGGAAAACAGTCCTAGACCAAAGTCACTGAGCTCTTCAGTAAGACCATTGTTTGTCTATGGAGATTGCATGACTGCTTGATTTTTATTCACCCGTCAGCAATGGGTGTGGATGAATATACTGTATGTAAAGTACACTGAGTTTACAAAACACCTTTTCTAATATTCAGTTACACCCCCTTTTGCCCCCACAACAGCCTCAATTTGTCGGGGCATGGCTCTACAAGTTTTCAAGTGTTCCACAGGGATACTGGCCCATGTTGACTCCAATGCTTCCCACAGTTGTCAAGTTGGTTGGATGTCCTTTGGGTGGTGGACCATTCTTGATACACACGGGAAACTGTTGAGCGTGAAAAACCCAGCATACGTTGCAGTTCTTGACCCAAAGCAGTGCGCCTGGCATCTACCATACCCCATTCAAAGGCACTTAAATATTTTGTCTTGCCCATTCACCCTCTGAATGCCATACATACACAATCCATGTAAATTGTCATGAGGCTTAAAAATCCTTCTTTAACCCGTCTCCTTCATCTACACTGATTTAACAAGTGACATCAATAAGGGCTCATAGTTTTCACCTGGTCAGTCTGTCATGGAAAGAGCAGGTGTTCTTAATGTTTTACACGCTTGATAGATCAGTTACATGGCCTCAGACTAGGTTAATGGCTATGTCAATACCGGTAGTCACCCGTTAAGATGTGGCTAGGCTTCTGAGATGGTAGCTGCATACAGTTCAGTATTTAAAGTAGGGCAGATCTGACTCACTGCAGAGTTAGCTAAGCCATGCTAGGAAGAACAGTGCAGTCATAGTCCCATTTCAACACACTGCAAACAAATTGGGTCACCGTGCAAATATACACACAACTCATAACTTTGGCTCGTAACTCTGGCGGCTTGCTCACCTGTCATTTGTCACTCAGACATGGGCAGGTTCCGTTTATTTCCTCTGTTAGTGTAGAGCAGTGGTTCCCAACCTTTTTCCATTACTGTACCACCAACTGAATGTTGCTCTGCCTGAAGTACCCCCTCATGAGCATTTTACCAGTAAAAGCCTATAGTCTTATGAGTCTTCTCAAGTACCCCCTGTGTATAGGCCAACCTGGGTTGGGAACCACTGATGTAGAGTGCTACCACTTGGTGGTGAGAAACAGCAGTAATACAAGTGCGAAAATAGATGCCCAAATCCTTAATCGACCTCAAATAAACTCCTATGCGTTGAGTGGTTTGTCAGGGTGCTCCACTGACTCCATTTTCCATTGGTGTCATTGAAAGCCAAGTGTTTTTCCATCATCCAGTGCAGACTGTGCCGCCAATGCATCGGACCCTGTGGTCCTCTGTAGCTCAGCTGGTAGAGCACGGCGCTTGTAACGCCAAGGTAGTGGGTTCGATCCCCGGGACCACCCATACACAATTTTTTTTTATTATTAATTATGCACGCATGACTGTGTCGCTTTGGATAAAAGCGTCTGCTAAATGGCTTATTATTATATTATATTCAATGTGTTAATGTCTTTTGTCCCTGTTCAAAGAAATCATAAATTAATTGTTTGACTAACCCTGTGTTTTCTTGTCTCCAGCGTGAGTGTATCTCTGTGCATGTGGGTCAGGCTGGAGTCCAGATGGGCAACACCTGTTGGGAGCTGTACTGCCTGGAGCACGGGATCCAGCCGGACGGCACAATGCCTAACAACAAGGCGGTCGGTAGCACTGACGACTCCTTCACCACTTTCTTCAGCGCCACGGGCATCGGGAAATACGTGCCCCGCGCCATCTTCGTAGACCTGGAGCCCACTGTCATTGGTTAGTATTTGAGGGACCATGCAGAGAAAATGCACTGACTGATTGATACTGGGGATGTGTAGGAAGAGCGCTTCATCAATATGGTGGTACAGTTCAAAAGAAGCATCAAGAACAGACTAATTAACCCTGGTCTGTTCCCCTTTCTCAGATGAGGTGCGTACAGGTACCTACCGCCAGCTGTTTCACCCCGAGCAGCTGATCTCAGGGAAGGAGGACGCAGCCAATAATTACGCCCGTGGCCACTACACTATAGGCAAGGAGATCATCGACCAAGTGCTGGACAGGATCCGCAAATTGGTGAGGGGAAACCGTCAGATTTGATAGATTCAATGGTGATATTAGGATAACTCATGGATTTTTTGTGTGAATGTCTTATGAGAAAGGGTTTTAGCCTTGACTTAATGTGTCTTATCAGAGCTAGAAAACATGCCTGTGTTTTCTGTGTCTTGACAGGCTGACCAGTGCACAGGGCTCCAAGGTTTCCTGGTGTTCCACAGCTTTGGAGGAGGTACCGGCTCTGGTTTCACCTCCCTGCTCATGGAACGTCTCTCCGTTGACTTCGGGAAGAAGTCCAAGCTGGAGTTTGCCATCTACCCTGCTCCCCAGGTGTCCACAGCTGTAGTGGAGCCCTACAACTCCATCCTCACCACCCACACCACCCTAGAGCACTCTGACTGTGCCTTCATGGTCGACAACGAGGCCATCTACGACATCTGCCGTAGAAACCTGGACATTGAGCGCCCCTCTTACACCAACCTCAACAGGCTCATCAGCCAGATTGTCTCCTCCATCACCGCCTCTCTCCGCTTCGACGGTGCCCTCAACGTGGACCTGACAGAGTTCCAGACCAACCTGGTGCCTTACCCCCGCATCCACTTCCCCCTGGCCACCTATGCCCCCGTCATCTCAGCCGAGAAGGCCTACCACGAGCAGCTCTCTGTGGCTGAGATCACCAACTCCTGCTTCGAACCCGCCAACCAGATGGTAAAGTGCGACCCTCGCCACGGCAAGTACATGGCGTGCTGCCTGCTGTACCGCGGAGACGTGGTGCCCAAGGATGTCAACGTGGCCATTGGCAACATCAAGACAAAGCGGAGTATCCAGTTCGTGGACTGGTGCCCCACAGGTTTCAAGGTGGGCATCAACTACCAGCCACCCACCGTGGTACCAGGGGGTGACCTGGCCAAGGTCCAGAGAGCTGTGTGCATGTTGAGTAACACCACAGCCATCGCTGAGGCCTGGGCGCGTCTTGACCACAAGTTCGACCTAATGTACGCCAAGCGGGCATTCGTGCACTGGTACGTGGGCGAGGGCATGGAGGAGGGAGAGTTTTCTGAGGCCAGGGAAGACATGGCTGCCCTGGAGAAGGACTACGAAGAGGTGGGCATCGACTCATTCGAGGAGGACGGGGAAGAAGGAGAGGAGTATTAGGAGAGGAGGAGTTCAAAGGAGGGATGGGTCCTCTGTTGGCTTACGTATCACTGAGAGATAGAACTGCCTTTTACTTGACCATGAAGTGGGGAATGGCCTGCTCCTTCCATTGTTGTCTAACGCCATCAATCATGTTTTCTTCACCAAAGACACCACGTCCATTCATGTCTGACAATCTTTTCCTAGAGGGTTGACTATGGAACCATACAGAACCTTGAAGATTAAGCTGTCTCCATGAACATAATGTTTCCTTTAAGTTAATGATACTTCTGCGCTTTCAGATCTATCCTAAACACTAAAGTTACTGCCAAACAAAAAACTAGCAAACTAAACCCCATGGTGTTGGGTCTTAATGAATGTAATTCAGTAACTCTCTTGGAGGATTATTTTGCATTGCATGTTAAGCTACCCCAAAATAATTTATTGGTTTTATCCCTATACAGATTCTATTATTTTCTTTGCCATGGCTGTTATTTTAAGAGTTATCACATCAGGTTACTGTTGTGGCTGTAGCCCCTCCTTTGTAAATAAAGTTGTTTTATCTCAGTTCATCCTGTTTTCCCTCCTTTTTCAGTGGTTAAAATCAATCACAACTGCCTCTCAGTCCTGACCTGAGGTTTCATTTATAATTTCACTAAATTACTATTAAAGGGCAACATTATAAAACATCAGTCTCTGCAATTGAGCACACAAATGGACTGGTAAGTAGCCGAGCAGTCCTGGGATATAAATGTAGCAGCAGGGTGCCTTGAAAGAAGATTATGGTCGAGGTAACGCATTATCTCAATTGCATACTCCTGGTGTCATCTTCTCAACCCATTGGCTACGAGAGCCAGAGGTCCCTGCCTTCTGACCTGCTCCTCAATGTGTTGTGAGGAGAATCTTATCTTCACAGAGACTGGTAATGGGGAAGGATTTTCCCCATAATGTCATTTATTTTATTTAGAATGTTACAGAATATCCTAAAGGTGACAAGTGGAGACATGGATAGTAAACTAATTTCGACTATTGAGACTCCGCTCAGTAAAGTTGAGTCCACTGGGTGGTGCTCTGGTTTAATAAAATACTTGATTTGGCCAGCGGAAGAGGCGAATCGAGAAGTTTTACTCAGCCCACTAAAATAAGCTCAAAATGAGGACTTATGTATGGAGGTCAATAAGTGTCGAATTTGGTCAACAAAACATTTAATTACTAATTTGCTACGTGATGTTTATTTGATCGAATATAAGTTTCGTTATGGTTAGTCCCGTGTAGAGCATGGCGCTTGCAACGCCAGGGTTGTGGGTTCGATTCCCACGGGGGACCAGTGTGAAAAATGTATGCACTCTAACTGTAAATCGCTCTGGATAAGAGCGTCTGCTAAATGACACGTAAAATGGTTAGGTTGTTACGAATGCACTGATGTAAGTGGACGCACTTGGCATTTCGGCGACAACTACAAAAATACTTGTCACATGCTTGTAAACAGGTGAGTACACGTAGCACTAGCCTAAAGGCCGGCAGATGGCAACATTAAGTCGTTTCCTCTTACCATCCAAAGGGAAACGCTTACTTATGGGCACGAGAGAAAAAATAATACTTTATATCGGAGTTGTGCCTGTTGTCATAGATGGATGACTCCTCATGGGCTCCCGCGTGGCGCAGCGGTCTAAGACAATGCATCTCAGTGCTTGATTCCAGGCTGTATCACAACCGGCCGTGATTGTGAGTCCCATGGGGCGGCGCACAATTGGCCCAGCGCCGTCCGGGTTTGGCCGGTGTAAATAAGAATTTGTTCTTAACTGACTTGCCTAGTTAAATAAAGGTGCTCAAATAACTTGTATTCGCATGGCATGGCGCTGCCCATGCGGTCACATACGCTATAATGGCACGGATACAAAGATAAGTCCTAAATCACTTTGGCCTGTTGTTCACACGCGGATATGGACCCACCTGATCTCGCCTCCTCCCGCCTGACTTCCATCTTTGAGGACATGTATTTCTATTGTTAGTGTTCACTTGACTATCTTGTAATAGACAATCTTTGATTGGTACCGCGTTCGAAACAACTTGGAACTCGGAAAAGAACGGTCATCCAACTCCGGCATCTTTCAAGAGTTCCGGCTTGAAAATCACTGATTTTTCGAAGTTCCCACTTTTGAACGCCGCATTAGATCACAGGCTGCGTCATCATTACGCGTTTTATGTACACGGAAGTAACCAGCAGAAAACAAAAAACAGGACGCAGACAGAAGGTAATTTCTATATACAACGCTAACAAACGTAAATGTCCCCATATATTTTCACCACACGTTTATCAATATCTCTATCAGATAATATTGGCGAATCAGGATTGATCTGCATGTTGACTATGCTGTTATCTTGTAGATCGCTTGTATTCTCCTACCGGTGTGTGCCACGTTACCAAACAAAATCCTACACTTTTGTAAAGGTTTAGTGAAAGTATATTTGCTTATGGTGTTGCCACTGCTGTAAAGAACCAATACACATCATTTCGGCAGATTACAACCAAGAGTCGCTGTAGCGCGGTTAGGGCGTTAGGCCAGTAACCGAAAGGTGAAACGTGCCCTTGAGCAAGGCACTTACCCCTACTTTCTCCAGGGTCACCGTTGATCATGGAAGACCCTGGCCGTGACCCCACTCTCCAAGGGTGTCTCGGGGAGAGTTGGGATATGCAAAAAACATTTACCAATTCACACAAATATAAGCACCCACCAAATACTTATTATCAATCGCACAGTGAATAATTTATGACAGATTTTATGTTGCAGTCTGTTTTTTACACAAATATATCCCATACTCACTCTCTCTCCCATGGCTTTGCGCTTGACCTCTCACTTTCAATTCTACTAAACCCTGTGTCTTCCTTTACCTCTTATGCCCTCCATATCTCTCTCTCTGTCAGTCTGTGTGTTGAGCTATGCCCCAGAGAGGATGGGTCAGACCCTGTGTATCTGTTCCCGTGGCTCCATCACCATCGACAACAAAAGATACTACTTCATCCAGAAACTAGATGAAGGGTAAAACCGACCGCATCAGTAAAACACTTATCTATTCTACATGGCAGACGATCATCCCCGCCCCCCACACACATGCAATTGTATTTCAGGGTTCTGTAACGTTACATCTTACTGATCAGGACCCTGGTTTTTGTCTACCTCTCCATTTTCTCCTGCGCTCTCTCTCTCGTCATTTACCGTCCCCCTTCCATCCCTCCCCTCCTCCCAGAGGGTTCAGCTATGTGGACCTGGTGGAGGGGGTGCAGGATGGGCGTTTCTACGCCCTGAAGAGGATCCTGTGCCATGACAGGGAGGGTCACCGGGAGGCCCAGACGGAGGTGGAGATGCACCGTCTCTTCAGCCACCCCAACATCCTGGGCCTGGCCGGGCACACCTTCATAGAGCGGGGGGGCAAGAGTGAGGCCTGGATACTGCTGCCCTACGTCCAGGTGTGTGCGTGTGTGTGTCTATGTACTCACGCCTGTGTGTGTGTATTAGAGCCCGACCGTTGCTTATTTTTGGGTCCGATACCGTTTTTTTTGTGGGGACAAAAGTTACTGATACATCTGCCGATATACTGTTTTACAGCGTGGAAATGAAAAAGTGTGTATGCCTGTATGTATGCATCTATGTATTCATGCCTGTGTGTGTGTGTGGGCTCCTACAGAAGGGCAGTCTGTGGTCAGTGCTAGAGAAACTGAGGGACAAGGGCAGCTTCATGCCAGAGAGACGCATCCTAAAGGTTCTACAGGGCATCTGTTCTGGACTGAAGGCCATGCATGACAGAGGCTACGCACACAGGTACAGGCTACTACTGCTATTACACACACATGATTGTGGTTAAAATTAGAATGAGGCTCTCCATCTCTATCCCTCTCTTTACCTCTCTCTCTCTTCCTCTTTATTTCTCTCCTCTATCGCTCTCTATCTCTCCCTCTCTCTCCACTATCCTCTCTCTCCACTCTCCTCTCCTCTCTCTCAGAGACCTGAAGCCTACCAATGTACTCCTGGAGGAGGATGACAGGCCTCTGCTGATGGACCTGGGTTCTATGAACTGCTCCAGGATGGAGGTCAAGGGGACCAGGGAGGCCATGACAGTACAGGACTGGGCAGCTCAGAGGTGTACTATATCGTACCGTGCCCCAGAGCTCTTTAACGTGGAGAGCCACTGCGTCATCGATGACCGCACAGACATCTGGGTAACGCACACTACAGTACTACCCCCTTCTCACTTTAGTTTTGGTCTGTGGAAACTGTCAGTATTGTACAAGAGATATAACATGGACCAATTTGTCATAACAGAGATTGTCTTTACCATTGGATGGTGCGATGCTGTTTTGACTCTAGCCATGAAGTCAACATGTTGCGTACCAGTTAGATTGGTATCTCTCTGTCTCCATCATGCCTGGTGTTTGTTGACCGTGTAGAGACAGTATTCGCTCTCTCTCTCCAGTCTCTGGGTTGTGTACTGTACAGCATGATGTTCCTGGAAGGGCCCTATGACATGGTGTTCCAGAAGGGAGACAGTGTGGCCCTCGCTGTCCAGAACCCTGTTACCATCCCTCAGCCCTGCAGGTCAGTCCCCCCCGGCTAGCTAACCCTAACCCTGTTACCATCCCTCAGCCCTGCAGGTCAGTCCCCCCGGCTAGCTAACCCTAACCCTGTTACCATCCCTCAGCCCTGCAGGTCAGTCCCCCCGGCTAGCTAACCCTAACCCAGTTACTATCCCTCAACCCTGCAGGTCAGTCCCCCCGGCTAGCTAACCTAACCCAGTTACTATCCCTCAACCCTAGCGTCATGTTCACCTCCCGGCTCTAACCCTAACCCAGTTCACATCCCTCAACCTTACCCTCAGTCCGCTCAACCACCAACCCTTAACCCTAGTCTCAACACACAACCTTAACCCTAGTCTCAACCACACAACCTTAACCCTAGTCTCAACCACAGCCTTAACCCTAGTCTCAACCACAACCTTAACCCTAGTCTCAACCACAACCTTAACCCTAGTCTCAACCACAACCTTAACCCTAGTCTCAACCACAACCTTAACCCTAGTCTCAACCACAACCTACCCCTAGCCTCAACCACAACCTTAACCCTAGCCTCAACCACAACCTACCCCTAGCCTCAACCACAACCTAACCCTAGGCTCAACTACAACCTTAACCCTAGTCTCAACCACAACCTAACCCTCAACCACAACCTTAACCCTAGCCTCAACCACAACCCTAACCCTAGGCTCAACCACAACCCTAACCCTAGGCTCAACCACAACCCTAACCCTAGGCTCAACCACAACCCTAACCCTAGGCTCAACCACAACCCTAACCCTAGGCTCAACCACAACCCTAACCCTAGGCTCAACCACAACCCTAACCCTAGGCTCAACCACAACCCTAACCCTAGGCTCAACCACAACCCTAACCCTAGGCTCAACCACAACCCTAACCCTAGGCTCAACCTTAACCCTAACCCTAATCCACAACCTTAACCCTAGCCTCAACCACAACCTAAACCCTAACCACAATCTTAACCCTAGCCTCAACCCTAACCCCAAGTCACCATCCCTCAGCCCTACAGGTCAGCCAGTCCCCTGGCTAGTCATCCCCTAGTTACTCTTCAATCCATCACCCTCTCAGCTTTCAAGGCTAGCAGACTAGAATGTATTGATTCCAAATCGGCACCTACCACCTAGGCACTCCTGCAGATCTAAAAGGATTGGATAGGTTTAAGCATTTTTTCATCTTGGCCTTTTTTAGGTTGTATGGAATTTATACAATTTATAGTATGTGTTTTTTCTCCAGTTACTCTGGTAGTTTCTCAGTATATATTTGTTCTCCAGTTACTCTGATAGTTTCTCAGTATATATTTGTTCTCTAGTTACTCTGGTAGTTTCTCAGTATATATTGTTCCGGTTCTCAGTTTCTCAGTTACCTCTGGTAGTTTCTCAGTATATATTTGTTCTCTAGTTACTCTGGTAGTTTCTCAGTATATATTTGTTCTCCAGTTACTCTGGTAGTTTCTCAGTATATATTTGTTCTCTAGTTACTCTGGTAGTTTCTCAGTATATATTTGTTCTCTAGTTACTCTGGTAGTTTCTCAGTATATATTGTTCTCTAGTTACTCTGGTAGTTTCTCAGTATATATTTGTTCTCTAGTTACTCTGGTAGTTTCTCAGTATATATTTGTTCTCCAGTTACTCTGGTAGTTTCTCAGTATATATTTTTCTCTAGTTACTCTGGTAGTTTCTCAGTGTCTTATGGGTGTTTTGTTGTTCCCCTCCAGTTACTCTGAAGGCCTGCAGAACCTGCTGAGCTCCATCATGGTGTCCAACCCCCAGGAAAGACCCGACGTCAACTGGATCCTGGACCAGATACAGGACATGACGTGTTCCAGCCCCAACACCCAGACCAACATGGTATGATGCTCCTGATCGGGGAACCCTGGCAAGCCTGGTTCCTCTCTAGTTCCTCCATCTGTGGGTGATGAACTTTATGACCTCTGGACTGTTGTGATGGCGACCCTGACTTTGTCGTTTTCTTCTACTCTTAGAAGCTCAGGGGATCCTACCCCAAACACACACACACACGCACGCTATTCTGCAGTTGAAACCACATAGACGCATGTCACAAGTCCTCACTGTCCTCCATATGCATGTGCAACAATATGCTCCTACACAGTGTTGGTCAACTCCACATCCAGCACCCCTTGTGGAAATTGAGAATTTGCGTGGAGCCATTTTATGACTGCTAGTGAATAGGAAACCCCATGGGTTAAAATATCATCAGACACTACAGTTGAAGGGGGCACCGGACCAGGAAAAGGACCTATGGTAAATTCCAGACAGATGGTTGCCATGGAAACTTACTCAGCCATATCTGATATCAACTTCAAAGGGATTTTATAATAACTTAATTCCAGACCTGGGTTCAAATACTTTTTCTGTATATTTGAGTATTTTCAAATCCGCAGGCCAAATTTTATTTATTTATTTGAGTATTTGAATGGTTATTTGTAAAAACCAAATAGTCGACCAAATTGTATTTGAAAGTATTTTCAAATACCTGGGTTAAATGCATGGAAGTGTATTTGAGTCAGTGTGTATGAGTATTTTCAAATACTTTCAAAGTGTATTTTCAAATACATTCCAATATTCAACTACTTGTTTTTTCAAATAAAGGTTATCTGAGTACTTGTTTTGAAATGTATTGAAAAGCAATTGAAATACCTGAAATAGTATTTTGAACCCACGTCTGCTTGATTCATCCTTATCACATCCGAATGTCTTTCAAGTCCATCATAACTGTATTTATTTTTTATCATCACATAATGCTATACTGTAACAATTTTCCATTTATGACACTCATTTAGGCCTGTATGTATTTTGCATTACCTCACATGATTCTGTTTTGAGTGTCAATAGGAAGATCAGTTAATCTTGTTTTTAGTCTCTCAGCAGGTTTTTCTCAGTTAACTCTTACTACAGTTGCTTGATAGGAACCTTTTAATGGTTGCTTTTTAAAATTATTATTTTTGTATGTGCATCTATTTAAGGATACATTGTTTATTTGTCTATGTATATGCTATATGAATATTTTGTAAATAGGCTAATGAAGTTGGAATGCAGGCATTATTGATGATTTAAATGGAACAATCCTGGAATTTGAGATATTGTGATAAAATAATAGGGTATTGGATAATACTTTAAATACAAATTTAGCAACACTGAAGGCTTTGCTTGTTTCTCATAAGATCGATGTTTAAATGCTTTAAAGTTTTTATTTTTTTAACATTTGTGGTACAACTTAATTTGTTATGTATAAGAGGGCCCTTTTCCCAACATTTTAGAATGATCAGAGGCCTGACTGTCTTGAGGTTGTCATGTGGCTTTTATTCCACACGGGGGAGACCATGTCCTACAAGTTGGTCAAAGCAGACTGAGTCTGCCGGTGTCTCAAACGTTGTCTGTCTTCGCTTAGCCAGACCTGTAGATCTGAGAAAGGCTCACTCAATATGTGAACATATGCAAAACCTCTCTGAAACCAGGAAATAAAATGATAATGATTCTGATTGGTCCTTTCTCTTTTTACTCCAACACATCCACGCTCCATGGTAACATTACATTAGCCAATACCTACCCTTGCAGTTGAAAAAAAGGGCAGGGCCAGTGTTTTGATTGGATGTTTAAATGTTACTTACACTGGGATTATTATCTGTGAAGAAACAAGGATCAGCCTGATACCAGAGAGAACCAGAAGGTGCAGCTGGAAGCTCAGGCCAGTGCAGGCCAGATAACCCTCAGCTGGTAGCTGTTTACACATCCCTTTACATTGCTTTAAGTGTGTGTGCACAGCCACAGTCTTGGATGGGCTGTGTGTGTGGACGGCAAGGTATGAAACAATTATCAGGAACTGTTTAGGCGCCTAGATTTACAGCCCTGTGGGTCACTAGGGTCAAAGTGACGTCGTACCTCACTCCTCGTCCTAATCAATCTCAGACAGTCATAAACCTCACACACACAAAACCCACGGCAGAAACGACTGACACAAGAAAACACACACACTAACACTAGAGGAATTCATTACACTTTAATTAATGTTTTCCCCAACCAAGTGCACCTTCATACAGGAGGTCGGCCCACCCATTGTCCAGACTCCCCTGGGACCGTATTCATTACACACAGACTGTGTTTACGGGTTGAGGAGAGGGAGGGACTCCCATTGGCCCAGCAGGTTGAGCAGGAGAGGGAGGGACCCCCATTGGCCCAGCAGGTTGAGGAAGAGAGGAGAGGGACCCCCATTGGTCCAGCACCTTTATATTTACCATCATCTGCCTGATGATGTCATGCAATACAAGCACAAGGTCAACACAATGCTGCTTCCATTTCAACACCCAACTTCCTGTTCTTTTCCTTTGTGAGTCCATGAAGGCCATGGACGGGGGTGTGTGTCGTTGTGTGTTGCTTTGTTTGATTGTGTGTGTGTCTGTGTGCAGGTGTAAGTCTTGTCTAGATGTGTTTTTATCTTTGATTGTGTTTCATTGTGAAGGTCTATTACCAATACCGTAATTAGTCCCCACCCCCCCAGTACTCAGAGCGGCGCTCACACCATAAACCATTTGGATGCTTTATTGATTTGGTGATGAATCAATTAGTGAATTATTTAATGAGCTGGGAATTATGGGTCAGTGCTGAACTGCTCCCACCCTGCACTGTTCCCAGGTCTCTCTAAATCATCATCACTTCATCACTACCTGCCTAGGCTAGTTGAGTGTGTGTCAGATAAACAGTCTCCCAAACCTCTACACCAGTACATTGGGTGTGTAGGCAATATGGCCAGGATATCCAATCTTATCTTTAAAGTTCTGATGTGTATGCAGCAGACTCTTTCTCCAGCCAAAGCAGTAACACACCTGATATAACTAATCAACGAATCATAGTCTTCAATCTAGACTTTATTAGTTTAATCAGTTGTGGGGTTTGGGGGGGCTTTAATCAGCTTTAATATTGCAAATAGATTGTGGCTTATATCAATATAATTGTCTGCATCATTTCCAATCCTCAATATATATTTTTTATAAATATATTTATTATTTTAAATATATACAGTAAATTCTAAAAACCAGTTTTTGCTTTGTCATTATGGGGTATTGTGTGTAGATTGCTGAGGATTTTGTATTTATTTAATCAATTTTAGAATAAGGCTGTAACGTTACAAAATGTGGAAAAAGTCAAGGGGTCTGAATACTTTTCGAATGCACTGTATATCATTTAAAATATATGTTCATTTATTATTTTCCCCTAACCCTACCACCCTTCCCCTAATTGGAGTAAACTAATGGACAACAACACTTAGACATTTTACGGACACAATACATTTTACAATAGTTATCTCTTGTTTGTTTTTAGTTCCATCAGTCCCATCAGGTGTGTTTCTTCTTTGTCTGGAGCAAAAGCCTGATCCCATAACGGCCCTATGAAAGATTGGACCAAATTGTTTCTGGACACTGGACAGGGTCCTACTCTCAAAGACGTTTAAATTGGCTCTGTTGCCCTGAGAGAGGAGAGTAGGAAACAAACACATATGGACATTATGTCCAGCCCATTGAGTGTCTGAGTTATGAGTTCCACTTATGGCAGCCAGGGGAGCTTTTTTAAGAGCCGGCTTTTTGCATGCTCATTAATTCCGGGAAGTGTTTGGGTTAAAATGCATAATGAGTTCATTAAGGGGGATTGGCGTAATCAGGAAAGGTATCGGCTTAATTACTGGCGCCGCGCCAAGGCCAACGCTCTCCCTCTCTTCTCTTTCCTGGTCGGGTCCCTGAAACCTGTCCTGGCCGGTAGCAGTAGCGCTAGCACTCTCTAATCTAATTAAGTGTACAAAATGCTACGCGCTAACGTCACCCCTGGGAGCAATTAGCAGGAGAGAGATTGAGAGATCCCTGCTGGGCATTTTACTCCCTGGCATGAGATTCCCTATGTCAGTTAGCTGATTGCATTGATTATATTTATTTGTAACAGCTTTTCAGGTCATTTCATCTGCAACGGTGAGAGCAACACGTTGGCCCGGAGACATTTATTTTTATTCATTCATTCTTTATTTAGGCCCCAGGGTTGTTCTGCCAAGTGATCAGATGAGAGTGTACCTCAACAAAACCTATTTTTTGGGGTAGTTAGGTGAGGAGGGGGGGATTATTTTTTATTGGCCACCGGGTCAGAACAGGTGGGGTGTTATTGATGCTTTTAAAAGCATCACAACTCTTTCACCAGCTGGATGGGAATGTGCTGATGGATGCAGGAAAGTGGCATAAACGGGCAAACGGGACAAGAGCAAAGACACACACACATAGCATAGTTATGCATGCACTCACACCAGTGGAGGCTGCTGAGGGGAGGACGGCTCATAATAATGGCTGGAATGGAGTCAATGGAATGGTATCAAACACCTGGAAACCACGTGTTTGATGTGGTTGATACCATTCCATTGACTCCATTCCAGCCATTATTATGAGCCGTCCTCCCCTCAGCAGCCTCCACTGACTCACACACAAACACACACACACACACATATAGCCATGTCGCTCACACACTAACACCAACACCGGTCCTTCATGTATAACTATTTTGCTCTTTAAAAATAAAAATGTAACATACAGCTCATGAGAGCAGCTCATGTTTTAGCCTAATAATAGACCAGAGTACCATGTTTGGTTGATTCTCTGAAACAGATGTGTTAGAGCTGGGCTGGAACAAAAGCCTACACACCCGACCAGTTGTGGAGAGCGCAGGTTTAATTGGTGGATCAGGAGTTAATTTAAGTAGATTAGACAACGAAGATGACAAGATACTCTAGCGGTGCGCCGGTCGTTAGGGGTGACGGGGCGAGAGCCAATTAGCTGATTAAACCGCCCAGCACAGCCAACGAGCAGCCGGCGGAGGGGAGGGGCCTGGTGATTGATGGGAGGGGGAGTGTTTGTGTAGCTTGTCAGAGAGTTGTCGCTGAATGAGTGAAATGTCTTCATCAATTTGGAGCCATTACCATGTCAAAAGGAGAGGATGGTGCTTAAAGGAGGGGAGGAGAGGAGAGGAGTAGAGGAGGGGAGGGGAGGAGAGGAGAGGAGGAAAGGAGGGGAGGGAGGGGAGGAGAGGAGGAGAGGAGGGGAGGGAGGGGAGGAGAGGAGCAATGTGTGCCCATCTGTACACTCACGGCTGCTCTGCAGATGATCAATCTGATACGCACACACACACACACACACACACACACACACACACACACACACACACACACACACACACACATTCCAATGTCATTGTCATCATCATCCACTTCATCATCATCATCATCATCATCATCACACACACAAAACCAATACACACACTTACATAAATGTACATTTAGTCATTTAGTAAACGCTCTTATCCAGAGCGACTTGCAGTAGTGAGTGCATACATTTTCATACTTTTTCATACTACTAAATCCACTTAAACACCTCCAAACACTACCATGTCTTCACACACACACACACACTGTGCGTCCTGGCCCCGCCCGGGCGGGCCTCTTTACCGTAAGCCTGTTTAATTTTCCTGAAATAGGGCTGTGACAGCTCAGTCATGCTGATGAGATGGGCTGAGGAGAGTGGCAGCCTGTCAGAGTCTGTCTCATCTGTCTCCATACTGCTGACCAGCCTCTCCTCATCTCCTCAGCCCTGTCAAATCATCACACACTCTCACCACCGCATCTCCGTCCTCAGTTAGACACTTTACAATAGAGCACCATGGCTAATCTACAGAGGTGTGTGTGTGTGTGTGTGTGTGTGTGTGTGTGTGTGTGTGTGTGTGTGTGTGTGTGTGTGTGTGTGTGTGTGTGTGTGTGTGTGGACTAAAGCAATAACTGAGAGCTGTTTTTTTATTTCACCTCTAGTGATTGTTATGGGTCCCTCTATCACCTGACCCGGATCAATTATGCCAATTGGATACTGCAGTGACACCATAAGGTTGTAGGGACTGTAAAAAGCAAAGGAGAGAGAGAATGATGGAGAGGTGGTGAGAGAGAGAGAGAGAGAGAGAGAGAGAGAGAGAGAGAGAGAGAGAGAGAGAGAGAGAGAGAGAGAGAGGAGAGAGAGAGAGAGAAGAGAGGAGAAGCGACGATTCGATGCGAGATGAGAGCTACGAGCACTGCCCGGATGAGAGCAGAGAGAGAGTAGAGACTAGAGAAGAGTAGAGAAGAGAGAGAGACAATGAGAGAGATGATAGAGAGATGAGAGTAGAGAATGAAATCCCGTAGAGATGCAGAGTAGTGAGACAAGATGGGAAGGAGATGATAGATGATTCCAGTGGTAGAAGACAGAGCGAGCTAGTAGAGAGGAGAGGAGTGAGGTGACAGAAGAGAGAGAGCAGCACGCTAGACGGGAGGACAACGCTGTGAGATTGCAGTAGATAGAGACATGATTAGAGGGAGAATGAGGAGGCGGATACTAGTAGGTAGTGATAACAGAGATAGCAATGAGACTATGAGTGACGTAGGTTAAGGTGAAGGACAACGAGGTATGAAGGATCTGACCATGAATTAGATAAGGAACGCTAGGTACATCAAGGAGATGAGATGATCGTGACCCTGTATAAAGTGATGTACTAAAGAAGTCAAGTGAGACCATGATGAGATAAGGTGATCGTGACCCATAGGACTAGTGATGTGACCAGTAAAAGGATGACTAGATGAAACGAAATAGGAGTACAATAGATGAGAAAGGAGGACCAGGGAATAAGGACGACAAGACAAGGAGGACAAAGGAAGAGAGTAGGACCATAGAAGACAGAAAAGAGACAAAAAGAGGGGCAAAGGACAGAGGGAGGACAGCAGAAAAAGAGACGAAAGAAAGAGCAAGAGAGGAGGAAGGCCAAAGACAAAGACATGGCGGAGAGAGGAGATGACGAGACATTGAATGAATACGACATACAATAGGAATGAGGGAAACAGCCTTTGAGGATTGCATGTTACTTGTCCATTTGAAGCGTGGTAAGATACGAGTCATTTCCACCTGCATATACACACAGCCTACATCAAGATGTGACTGCCCGCCTCTGTCTGCATAACCGATACACCGCCAAGGCGGACAACTTGTCTGTTATTTCAGGTACAAATCCAAATCATAGAGGTCTAAAGTGGAGGGGGTGTGACAAGTAGTCAGCCTCTTAAATAAGGTGACCGTGACCCCGTAGGGTTAATAAGGTGAAGGTGACCCAATAGGGTTACTAAGGTGATCATGACCCAATATGGTTACTAAGGTGATCGTGACCCCATAGGGTTAATAAGGTGATCGTGACCCCATAGGGATAATAAAGAGATCGTGACCTGAAAAAGTTAATAGTGATCGTGACCCAATAGGGTTACTAAGGTGATCGTGACCCCATAGGGTTAATAAGGTGATCGTGACCCCATAGGGATAATAAAGAGATCGTGACCTGAAAAAGTTAATAGTGATCGTGACCCAATAGGGTTAATAAAGTGATCGTGACCCCATAGGGATAATAAAGAGATCGTGACCAGAAAAAGTTAATAGTGATCGTGACCCAATAGGGTTACTAAGGTGATCGTGACCCCATAGGATTAATAAAGTGATCGTGACCCAATAGGGTTAATAAAGAGATCGTGACCTGAAAAAGTTAATAGTGATCGTGACCCAATAGGGTTACTAAGGTGATCGTGACCCCATAGGGTTAATAAAGTGATTCTCATTTTGAAGTAATAGAGACTGATGGATGAGAGGTCGAGCGTGTGTCGAAGACAGAAAGACAGAGAGACACAGAAAGAGAGAGAGAGACAGAAAGACAGAGATAGACAGAAGATACAGAAAGTGGGTGAGAGAGAGATGAGGACATTGGATATAGTATATAACCTATAGCTTAGTTATGTTCAAACAGAGCGTGGAGCCACTCTGAATAGGCCCTGCAACAGCGTGGAACTAGATTATTAATGACAGCCGGCCCTTTTATACTGTCCCCCAGACGGATGTCCACGGCTTAGCCCCCCTTTGAATCCGGGTCTATGGAACAAAAGCCTGCAACATGGCGCCGCGCCAACTTACACACTCACAGAGCTCAAATGCTAAATGCCACTCGTTTTAACAGTACGCATATTCATTACATTTCGCTACAAAACCAGAAAATACATTAGCCACAAGTCAGCATTACACTCAATTGTCTATTTGGAGCTTGCTTGAAAAGGTCAACTACTAGTTAAATACAGTATACGTAGGTACTTAAAGGGAGGAAAAGAACACAATCATCTGTCAATTAGATCAAACAGTCAAACACTGGATGTGAATAGGATTAGGTAGTGGCTTTGGGTTCCCTCTGCATCAAGCCAAGACAAATCAATTCCGGATAATGTCAGCAGGTCCTGCTTCTACATCCTCTGCTAAGTTTAAAATGTCTCTAACCAACTCCCTGGAAAGTTCACGGAGATCCTCCATTGTCTCTATCCAGGTTGGCCTACTCTACTTCAGACCAAAGCAATGGATCAGACTAGATTCGCGTTAGCCCCGCCCACTGACTTTGATGGGTCAGTTTGACAGTTTTAAGTAATTCATGAATCACTGCAATGCAGGATCATGAAATGTAAATGTAAATAGTGAAATAATTATATATGTATTTTACATAAAATGAATCGGTATTTGAATTAATTAATGATACATTTAATTACACATTTATGTATTTAATTCTAATTTGAATTAATTAATGACACATTTAAGTAATTATTTAATGGTGTATTTATTTATTTAATTGTGGCACTTTTAGTCCTCCATAGCTTTGAGGTGTCAGTGGTAATTTGTGTATATTCTCCTGGTCAAAGAGCAAATGGATTGACTAGAAGGCCTTTGTACATACTTAGTATTGGGTCAGGTGAGGTGTATAGCGGTTAAGGATACGATTACCAATGTTTTCTTCATCCTTGTTCCCCGCCTTTAATTGGGCAATCCGGGATTGGTACGTTCTTTTTTTACTTTAAAATGTTTGATACAGCATATACTGCAGCCATGGATTGTTGAAGAATATAACTTATTAAAACCCCATGAGCTTAGTTCAGCTGTCGTAACCCATCAGAACCCAAAATATAAGCCTGTTTTACTCCATGCAATCGTAAACAAACACGGTTACGTTTCAAAACATGGTTAAAACATATCTTTGATATCATGTACGGTCAGTCCTTGCATCCATTACCTAAAACAAGTGGCGGGGTGACCGACTTTTTGAATCCCGGATTACACCTTTAAGGGTTGTACATTGACATTTGGGATTATAACACTGCAAACATTTTTTGGGAAAGTCCAACCAACCATTGCGTTCACTGAGTCTCCCAGTCTCACCTTGTGTTGCTGTGTGCTGGTTTACAGTGCAGAGGTGAGGGATCCACGGGGGTGGATGGTTTGGAAGGGGAGAGGGGGAGAGGGGGAGAGGGGGGGACTGCTTGTCTCTTGTGCCCAGGGAGGGGCTGCCGTTGGGGGGGGTTTAATTAGAGCGAGTGCCTGGTCTCCGCCTGGTCTCCCACTCCACATTACAACATGCTGCCAGGGGTTAATTGGCCTGGTAAATGGGCCCTGATACACCCCCTCGTCCCCCCCCCCCCCCCCCCCACACACACACACAGACTACGAATAAACTTGTTTAGTCAAACGACCCTCACACACTCACTCATGCATCCATACACTACAGTCAGAGACATGTACACACACACACACACACACTTTTACCTGGTCCTCTGTGGTCAGCCTCTAAAACGGTAATTGAAAGATGCCCAAACGAGCACTCGTTAAGTCCCTGATTGGGCAACAGCCTTAATGACCCCGGCCCAGCGTCGTGACATCTGGTGACTGGGCGTAAAAGTGGAACTACCGTCTCCATTAGGTTTGAGTGTCTGCATCTGTCTAGGATAACTCTCTCACCTCACCTCTCTCCTACTACTGAGACTTTTCCATTGACAGTACAGAATTAAAATGGAAATACTTTTAGGAACCTTTGTCATGCATATATTTGAATATGTTGGAATACATTTTTATCATAAATCATTAAATGAAAACAGAAAGATCCCTTGCTCTGGTTGCGAGGATGTGTGTGTGTGAGTGCATGTGTGTGTGCGTACGTGTGTGTTACAGAGACATGCCACTAGTGTGTGTTTCTTCATA